TGTATTAGTACTTTTCGACCTCTATCGGTCACATACAAGTCTTTGTTGGCACTCTGAGATGTATAGTATCGACCGTGTTTCGAACTGCTAGTACGGGTATCTGAAGATCGCTGGGTCAATTGGAGGCCGCTATATAGGATATGCTACATACCAAATGAATGTGCAATACGTCCCATTGCTAGAACTCCACTCCATAAACATTGGATCCTGCCATCCGCGAATACTGAAGTAACGACGTTCGTCCGCTTTAACAAAGGTGTGCATTGATAAGGAAATTGCAGACATGAGACCCAGAAGGCGGTCATGGATGGAAATCACGACCTGCAGGGCAAAGGAAAAGCGAAGAGTTGCAATTAAGAACGTGTTCCGGTGATATGACTCGAAGAGGGACGTATTTGCCATGTTGAAAACCGGGTTCGCAGACAACCTTTCTCCGTACACCTTCATGCTCGAATCGGATGTGGCGGCAAAACGTGGTGTCGAGCGTGAGTAGCTTCGACTAATGCTAAGGAGCCTGCATTGGCTGCCAGTGTTCCCATCGTAACAGATTTGTCGCGCAGGAGGAGAGAATCGTTGACGTCGACAGGAGACTGGTAGGACAGGTGCGTTCAACGAAGGCATCGTCCATTATCTCCCATCTCCTCGTAAACTTCTACCCGGCAACCAGCGGAACAGATGCTCACATATGAGCTCGAAGACAGGTATTAAAAATCAGGCATAAAGTGGTGTCTGTATAGCCACAGCATCTTGTCCTTGAGATGGTAGCTCAGTACGGCGCCGTCTTCTCGTCATCGTCAGCGACTTCGCAGGTAGGACCGCGGCCATGGCAGAAGTCCCAGCTACAATGCTTGAAAGAGTCGGCAGTTAAGGACGCCGGCACAAGATCCCAACTAGGGCGGCCGAAACGAAGGTAGTCACATTGAAACTCCGACACCACTCTGCCGATTGTGAAATTCAGCCACAACCCAATCGGAAGTTGGACCTGTCGCAATGAGATCCCCAGAATAATGCCATTTTATCACGGTCATGATGCAAAAACGACAGCCAACCTTTCACCAGTCTTCTGAAATGCATCATCACTTAAATCATTCGAACGAATACAGCTGGACCACGAAATGAATTATAGAGAAGCAGCCGAAGGCATAACAATGGTACATTTAATTCGTCTCCTATCTCACTATCACGCTCATTTTCACCGTCAAGCAAATCCTAGATACAGCAAACGTTCAGCTCATCCCCAACCCGTCAAGGCAACAGCGACTAACCTGAAATTCAGATCGTTCAAGTCAATTGCGCTCAATTGCAACTACATGTCTACTCACTGTACATGCGCACAACAGTTAGTCCTGTTCATGGACAGCCAATCAAGAAATACTCACAGGAGAGACAAGGTGATATCACCATTGACCTTGGCCTGGATGGCGATCTCCACCTCGAGATTAAGGTCAAGGCGCAGCTTCACAGATGCGGGAGGTGCAACGGTCTGCCTGTTGGAGCGGGGAGCAACCTGCTGTCCACCGGCAGCAAAAGATGGAGAAGAGAACTTGGTAGCGGTTTCTGGGGCAGACATTGTCGTTGAACTGAAGATTTTCTATCAACGAGTCCAGCTTTTATATGGTACCTCCGGGACGGTGTTCGCCCGCATCCCCGTCGCAACTTTACCCATTCTGGATTCCAGTCGCGACATGTCTGCCGTACGTAAATCTTGCGCGATCCTGTGATACTTCATCCCGGTCTAATTTCGTAAACGCAGTAGATGTGGACGCGCCTCCAAATCAAATTCAACACAATCGAGACCAGAAGCGCTCTACGGAGAACTAATCATATCTGCCGCGGACGACGGGTGTGGCTGGAGACCCGACGCTCGCTTGTCTTCCATTTCTATGTTGCTGCGTGCATATCTATTGTCGCGAAACGGGAACTTGAACGTCATACGGAACGTTCGTCATAGAACTCGGCTCCCGCGGAAATATTGGGCGAAGGTGACAACGGAAAAAACCAATACCGACTTCTCCGAACGCCGTGCGATGTCAAGCGGCTTTGATACCTGTATCGGTACCTCGGAGTGGAGCTTGACATTTCTCAACTTGGAAGATGGTCTAATGACTTTCATTGAAACTAGACGCCGGCCCCGGGAATAATTGAATAGCTCGTTTCTGTCTCTCCTATAATTCCTCCATCATTGACACTGCTAATTGTAACACGAACAGCTGCACGGAAACCTTTAAATTAAATATCATCGTTTAGGCACGCGGGACGCGAGAATATTTGAATGCGTACAAAGCCAAGAAAAGACTCTTTCTCTCGAACTTCAGTATTATTGCTGCTGACGGCGAGCCAGTTCTCTGACGACTTACGAGACGTTGTGGCCTAGGCGCATCCGAAATCTGGCCATGACGATTTCATTGATGGAACAGGATCGGTGACACACGGGAGTCGTGTCTCCAGCCTGTGCTCCGGTTGTTCCCTTGGGCTTCAAGTCTTCCCTGCAACGTAACGGATCAGTCAGCACCACGAAGTGCTCCCCCAAGGATGCGCTGACGCTCAGATTTAATCACAATTTTACAAAAGTTAAGGGAACATTACACTCATCCTTCTTTTAGGCTATCGACGGATTAAACTTAGTTTTATTCTTCCCGCTCTTTCGAGGTCGATGGCCTTCTTTGCAGTTCCTAGGTCTCAGATTGGCAAGAGGAATATCTTTAATAGGGTGTATGAATAGTATCATTCGTTCACATCTCTCGTCGACGTGTCCTTCCTTTCATTAACTTCTCGCACTATGATTCTGAGCAGCGGTCTTTCCCTTTCATTCATTGGCCCGGCGACTTGCAATTGGAGACCTAGGCTAGACTCTTACATATCATCCACACAATAATAGTCGATCAAAAAGAGCATTGGGAAAGTGCTGCTAATATACAAGTTACAACGGTACACAAGAAGCATCCTCCCGAACGTTGCGATCCACCCTTCATCAATCAACTGAAATCCATCCGAAAACCAAAGCACTAGCAATGAAAACACATTAGCCCAAGAAACCTACATCAATTGAAGAGACCTCCAAACCTGATAATCCAAGGATCCTGTTTTGCTTTTGCTCGTACCGAATGCATTTACTCACTATAATCACAATTCAGCTGCGAAGCTCAGTACAAAACGAATGGTCCGCTTACAGGAGCGAGAGGGTGATGTCACCATTGACCTTGGCCTGGATGGCGATTTCGACCTCCAAATTAAGGTCCAACCTGAGCTTCAACGCCGCCTTGGGGGCAACAGCTCCAGCGCCGACACGGGCGGTCAACTGGCCATCCCTAGCTTCAGCCTCAGCGGAGGCACCGAGAACAGACATACGAGTTTGAGCGGCAGACATTACGATCGTGAACGGAGGCCTAAGAAAAGTGTGACAGTCCTTTTATACGAAGATTGAGGGTAGGAGCAACGTCATGCCACAGTATGGAGGGATGTGGTTGCGGGATTCCATTGGCATCTCGGAAATGCAACGAATGAACGTGTCTGTACCTGGGACCTAAGGTCTGCTGGGACTTGAGACCGGTGAGGTACTTGCATAGAAAATTTGACAGAGCGTGAGTCTAGCCGATGCGTCGCAAGCTCAGGTCACACGAAGGTATACCGAATGAATATGAACATGTATAGACAAGCCCCTTCCAAGCCAGTTTGAGATCAAGCGAATAAGCCAACGTGTTAATATCACCCTGGGGACCTTCCATGTAGGTTTGCAGCGAGGTCCCGGGAGAATTACATGACGCGATCGACACATTGTGCTCTATTGTATTGCCTTCAGTTACACGCAGGTCATGGGAGGTCTGATCGTGGGTTTTATCCAACACGCCCAGTCGGCGTTCCCATGGGTATGGACTAGAACGCGAGCGTAATGTAATGAGAACATGAAACCGAGTTTAGGTCGTCGCATGATTCAGTCGATGGCAACTGGTTCCGCGGACCAGAACTATGGACCTATAAGCGCCCATAAGACATCGAACGTTTCTGGTTTTTTCAAGACGAGAACGTTCATGAATAAGAGAGCAGCCGTAAAAATTGATGAGGATAATAACAACAATGTCTGGTATGGAGCTCCTAGCCCTCCTAGGATGTTTAAAGTCAGAGAACGAATCCAGATGACAGAGAGTAGTAAAGCTCGCACTGCGCCGATGCTACGTTTTCTTTAGTCTCATTAAAGAGAAGTTGAGTTGCAAAGACTCGCTCTTCACTGCAGAGGTGGTATCACGTCACGATGATCTCCCCGTTTAGCGTGGCGGATCGGCCTACTCAGTGTCTCCGACCACTGTTTCGCTACTGCAATGCCAAAGAACCATCATTTTAAGACAGTCAACCGGAAGAAGTGATGACCTTCAGCTAGGATCAGATTTCGGAAACGGGTCTCCAAGTCGAGGACAAGTAGGTACCGGATTATGACCTCGCTATTGTTAGCGATACGCTGGCGAGAAAAGAACGTGAGGAGATTGGGTGATGTCTGGTTCTTTTTTCTCGAATGAAGCCGCAGCAGTAGGTGGCATGAGATTTATGGAACATTAAAGTGCCAGCTTATTCAGACACGCGCACAGATGGTGGTGGAGCACCGGAAACCTAAGTACGTTGAACTTTTCAGAAATCTCCGAAGCCTCTCTTCCTTGAACCACGACTACGATGAACGACGCGTACTAGCATAGTGAAGGTATATTAGGTTTCATCCGCCAGGCTTCCATGGTGTTGCACATCGTAATATCGTACGTCTTCTTCGACTTGTACTACCTATGTGTTCTAACAGGATCGTACAGATGGCTATCTGATCTCTGTAGAGAACGAAATGCGAACGCTATCTAGCACCTGGGCATGAATTTGCTAGCTTTGCCTCTCTGGTTGTGTCCTACCTCTCTGTATCAAGGTATTGAGACGATTGCTCCAAAGAGTCGAATGTCATCGGGGTAAATAGCCGTTTCGGGTATTACTTAAATATAATGTTCAGTTGCTGCCATAACTATATGGCCCGCCTAGCTCAATCGGATAGAGCGTCAGACTCTTAAGCACTAGGCGGTTTGCTGATCTGAAGGCTGCGAGTTCGACCCTCGCGGTGGGCTAGTGAAATCTTTTCTGTTTTTGTTGTTGACTTCTCAAGACAAACAGTCGCAAGACTTACTTACAATCGTAGGATGTCCGCTTGTCGCTCCAACCTAATGCCTCAAGAATCGAAGGTCAAGCTCTAGGGAAGTGCGGAAGGTCGGGCAGGATTTACTGCTTGTTCAGTCCAGAGATCTTGCTGTCTGTTACGCAGAACTAATTTTCTTTCCGCTTTACAGCTTTTGCTAAGCGCTTGGTTTCGTAGGCCGGAACCGGCACTTATTCCTAATACACAAAGCAATCATGCAATCTTGGTATTTTCCATCCACAAATTTCCTGTATACTATCCGTTTTTACTTCTATAATCAAGATTGACGGTCAACCTCCTCTTCGTTTCGGTTCCAGCCCACAAACAACAGTCTACCCTCATACCAAGCACGAAAAGCCTCGATTGTGACCGCCGTCACAAAAATTATTCACTGATAAACTAATTCGCATCGAGGTTAAGGCCTAACCTAAGCTTTAGCGCCTCTGCCCCACCCACTTCGCTGATCATATCCTGGTCTTGAAAGGGAAGATTCGCTGCACCAAGGATAGTGGCGTAGAGATCTGGTTCAGATACTTTAACGTTGTCGAAGATGGCACCCTCTTATATAGCGACTAAATCATCGGTAAGTAAACCGGCTGCTTGTCGTGTTTACTTAGACTAATTTTGTTTGTATTAATTAAAGTCCTCCACAGATGTGAATTTCGCGACAGACAGGGCGGGATTGTATTATGCTAGGGGGTGGAGGAGATGAGTGGTAGCGGATGCCCTGCAGGCGTGCGAATCGCCGTAACTTACTGTCTAAGGGCGGTCAATGTCGATCAGCAGGATCGCAGTTTCTATGGGTCCTCGTAGGGCCATCCTTCCATGCTAACGGCGCATTCGCTGGTCTGCGGTATATATTCCTCTTCTACCAGCGTTGTTTGTTGATTCAAAATAATAATATCTGCCTCCATTACGATATGGTCATCCGGTTATGTCCCCTAGATATTGCAATAATCACAATATGCTTGTTTAGACGCGTTGTAAGTGTTTATAAGGCGGCGTCACGACTCACCTCATGTCCCTCAACTTTGCCGCTCGAAATAATTGTGGTCTAGTATGGCCGATACCATTTACTAACGTTGCTGCGGACCCATAATAGGCTCCTAGATTCCACTTCTTCACGTCTCATAAGCTCCTTAGCTCATTGACATTTCTATTTCGCCGACCTCATCGGTACGAGGATAAGTAGAATCGGAGAGTACGTATTCAAGCATATCTTTAGGATCCATTATTACAGCGAATACGCCCGTATGTTTCTCAGTGGTACAATTCAAAGTTACCAGCTTGACATGCTTTAGGCTCATGATCATTCTGCGCACCACATTTTAAACATGACGATTATTGATTGACCCGGTTCCGGTCAGAAGCGGATTAGTCGACGCGTTCTGATACTAAGATCGTTACCACCCCACTGCGAAAGTCCTACTGAAGTCACGCTGTTTCATTCTAAAGATACGCTTGCGGGAGAATGACTGATATTCGTCTGTTATACGCACTGCCGGTGGCATGGTCGTATTCAAAACTCGAGATACCTCATTCGGTTTCTCGATAGCCGCTGGTGTCGGCCAGAATTCTAAACTAAGCGGGAGGTGATATTGGTATCTAAGCCACAGCTTGGATGCATAATCACAGTCGTTGACGATAACTGCGAAGAGTCAATCCGGCTGCGAATGCCATCATCATTCTCCATAGAAAAGCAAAGACGGCTTCGCAATGTAACGTATTTACATACGACGTTGAAGTCTGGTCTGGAACAAGTCGTGATACTTCGCGAAGACCGGTTGCGACATGTCATCGTTGTCAAAGAGAACGGGGAAAGACCTGACGTGCTCTCCAAATGTAGCGAAGGCGACGGGGACCTGAGATAGTCGGAAAGCGCCATATGTGAGATATTTCGAGGGCTAGAGCTCTCCGTAAGTGAATGGAGTCTACTTGGCGTTTCAGTCCACATCGTGTAAGTACCTCCTTACGCAAGAGATTCACTCGATACGATGCCACCGAAGAACAGGAATGCGGGACCCAGGAAAAGGTAAAGGAGGTCTAGACAGAGCTGTAACCTCAAGAACTGAGCCGTCAGAGTTAAACGAGAGGGTTTGGAGCCAATCATGCCAAAGCGGTAGCCCGGAGTATTGTCACGAGTCGCTGCCCTGTCAACCAGAAAATCTTGGCCGCGAGAGCAGCAGTACTGCATAGAGTGGCTTACGCAGCTACCGATACTCCCCGGTGAGAGACTGGCAGGAGCTTTGCAGAAAGCGATGATGGTGAGAAGGAAAGATTCAAATTGTGCCGTGGCAGCGCACCATCGGCAACTCCGATCAACTGATCGTCGATGCAGATCGGGCCGAAGACCGGTATCGTTTGAAAAAGAACCGCGGAATCAGTTTCCGGCCTTGTTCCCCACTCCTATTCCCAGAAACGTGTATAGACTGCATCTACGCACTAACGACCTATCATTTCTTGTACCTCTACAATCTCTCACGGTAATCTCGATTCGATTTACGCTCCAAGATGCCTGCCCCCGTTGCATCTCCATCTGGATATATATTCCACATACTATTCCCGTATTTCTGTCACGGTACCGAAAATGGCGTGGGCTCCTTTGAAGCCGCAAGCGGAGACGCAGACGAGCATGTCAATCTGAAAAGGGGTACTTGAAGTTGAAACCCCAATGGCACACTAAGGAGAGACTAAAGGAACGTGACAAAGGCATATGAACGGTGTGATATTATTCGGAAAGAAGTCAAGAAGGGAGATGGCACGTGTAGTAATGTACCTCGACAAAAAATAGGCCTCGGAAGTTGATACAAGGTGGTCACTATGGCACAATAATAGCTGGATCAGACAAAATTATGAGGGTTATGATGTGCGTGCGATTATGCGCGTGTTTAGATTAGATTATGGCAACCCGGCGATGCGGCCTGCCTGTTGAGAAAGACGAAAGCCTGAGTCCCCGTGTTCTCTTGGTGTTTCTTCGATACCCAGGTAAATAACCCGTTTTCTCGGGAACTTTGTGGTTTTTTCAAGAACTTTCCCGGGCGGTTTGAATGCGCGCCCAGACTCCCACTTCAGATACATTCTATACATTGGGTTGAGCCGAAATCTCTATATTTACTACTTGGTCTTCAATCTCGGAATGGAATGTAACGCATGGGGTAACCTGAATCATTGCTTGAGGCTTTCTACCATTTCAAACTGAGCTTTACGTACCGCGAGCTTGGTGCTCCTGCTCCTGCAGCATTAATCTAACCCCTAAGAATGAGGAGGTACCCGGTTTCCAGATGCCGCTCCAGTAACGCTGCTCCAATCCCCTCGTTTTCAACGTATGTGGGACCATCTCCGCGTATAAAAGAGCCAGTTCTTCCCAGCCTTCGACTCAGACATCAACTATACAAGTATCATGTCTTCTCCTGCTACCCAATACGCTACTGCCGAGAACACCACCTTCGCTGGTGAAAACCAGGTCGGTCAAGCCACCAACCGAAGCCTCGGGCGTGGTGGTGTTGGCAAGCAAAAGGAGGCTCTCAAGCTCAGATTGGACCTAAACCTCGAGGTCGAGATCGCCATTCAGGCCAAAGTCAACGGCGACATCACCCTCTCTCTCTTGTGAGTCGAATGTCTTCGTTCGTTCATTTTGCATTTGTATTCGGTTCTGACTTCGCGTTCAGGGAGTAAATCTTCCAAGGGCCAATCACTTGAATTGAGCACACGCGCTGGGCTACAGGTGGGTTTTCGCGTTTTTTTGTACTTAGCGTCGAAATCTTATCAACATTGCAGATCTCTTGTCAAAAATTCTGTTAGTCGGATATGTTCACGTCGTTACCTCGATACAATTTTACCATCCATTGAAATCTTTACTTTTCCTCTTCGCCAGATTGCTTCTTATGCTTCCATTCTCTTCTTCCCAGCTTCTATTTTCGTGATCTCCTTCGTCAATTCATATCAATTATCGAGTCCTACGGCTATTATGTTGAATATCAGTGTTGCTCCCTGTTCGAAAATTCAAAGCATATTCACCTTAATATCTGAACAACGTGTCAATTAATTTGATTGCAGTTCTTCCAAAACGATCAAAAATCAGAGAATCAGTCGATCAGAAAATAGTAATCCTCCCAAAGGCGCTGATAAAGAGCAGTAGTTATAAGAATAGAAGGCAACTCAAAGTTCGACTTGAAAGAATGAGTGACCGATACACGAGTCCACACAAGGATGTTATAAGCAAGTTCAAGAAACGAGTGAAATGAGCGCGACGAACGCCCCGATGGAACTTGGTCGATTATTTTCCTTTCGCTCTGTTCATTTGAGGAGTGAAACACTGAGGTTAATGGAGGTGAAGCGCCAGGCCTTGAGGAGGGAAACACAGGCGATTGAGTCCGTCGTAACTGAAGGCCATAAGTAACGGCAAGAGCGAAGTCAAGAGTACCGGCCCGAGTGCCATTTCTTGCCGATTCGATCCGACCTTCCATAAACAGCTCAAGATTTTTGATCGCGCAGTTCACCTACCTACGCGATGGGTTTCGCGGGTGAGGTCACAGCTCATCTCCCATAGACATTTTGGATTAGTGACAAGCCGTTGACGTGTTGGACATTGTCGTGACGCGTCCTATTCAAGCGTCAGTATTTCAATAGTCAATGTCCCGGCCCGTGACCAATACAATACATACCTACTCTTTCCGGCTCCGCTGCTTCAAAAACACCGTTCTCCCGAATACCCCCACTCTCATCCACATTTCCCAAATACGAAACACCACCGCGATTATCGTACACAGTTCTTTTGAGACATGTTTTGGTTGCTTTTCTCCATCAGAGCTTCGAGACTCAAGGCCAATACAACCCCAGTCCCAGTCCAATTCTGCCGACACGCGCTAGACGCCACACTGTTTGAATGATTCCGTCACTCTTTTCACCGCCAATCCGCCTCCTTAATTGACG